TTTTAATTCGAATTTCATGTAAGGACTTTGGTTGGACATTACCTCCAGACCAGGGTCAACCCTATCGTTGTGACTCTTCGAAAATTTTTTACGACCCCCCCCTTCATGGTTGATTTGATACGACCCCCCCCCTTTGTCATTGTTCACCTACCCTGGAGTTTCCCCTCCTCCGCTTGAACTTAGTCCCATCTCAACAGAAAGTATATCTTTGAAGCAGCTGAAAATGCATTACCAAAGCGCCGTCGCGATAGGAAAGTCGGAAAGTGAAAAGAGCACACTGAATTCATACAAAAGAAACGGATGTGAACAGGTCGACAAAAAAAAGTAGCGATGTGATTTCAAATTTGCTGGTTGGCGCCCTTTTGCCTTGCTGACGGTGGAGCGCATCTGCTCAAGGTGAGGAGCCGTCGAACGGGAATGTGAAAAGTTTAGGAGTTTTTTTTGTTTAATTTCAGGTAGTCCCGGAAGATATCGGCGGATGTTGGATCAGCGTGGTTCATCCTTCTCAAGGAGTGCCCATTTTTTCTCAAACCCTTCACAATGAAAAAGTTATAAGCCAAAAAATTAGATTGCAAGAGAATTTTTACACTCCTCTTTCTAGGGCTATAACTTCCTTCATGTTCGAGCTTCAGCGCCATAGTGATTTGATTTAAAAAATTCAAATTATTCTCTAGCCAATCATGGGTATAAATTCTTCGAAAGTTAATTTATTAAAAATTTTGGACGTTGTGACTTTCTCTGGTGCAAACCGACTTTTTTGCTTTCAAACGATCATAACTTCCTTCAAAGTCATTCATTTAGGAAGCTGAACGCGATATAACACACTCCAGGATTCAAGCTTTGGGGGTCTACGAGTACGCGAAGCGGTTCCGTGGCAAATGGCAGAGTCGTTTGCAAAGAGTTTAGGCCGGTTGACGAGGGAGAAGAGGGGCTGGGGTGATAACCATTTCTGGTTGAAAACGCGACTTTTTTACCTTTCAAACGATCATAACTTCCTTAAAAGTCATTCATTTAGGAAGCTGAACGCGATATAACACACTCCAGGATTCAAGCTTTCTAACGAGTACCCAAGCGTTCCTGAAAAATCAGTAGTTCAAAATTTAGTCCCGTTGTAACCCTCAAATTTGAGGGGTATTTTTTGAGCCACTTTCTCGAAAGCGCGAGTTTTCTTAAGTTCCACTGCCCGTAACATCTCGCAAGACCAATTTCATGTTTAATTTAGGATGTGCTAGAATGCTCCGAGCATGCGCTTGCACTACATCCCTTCCCTTGGTGCGCGCCACGCCTCGGGCGCCCTTCTAATTCGCTGATTCATTTGAAAGCTCATTCAGAGGGAAGCGTGGTTTACAGATGCTCTAGTATCAGTAATCTTGCGCAAACGTATCGTGCCGGCTATCATGCTGGTCTCTAAAGGCATTAGTTTCATATGTGTTGTATTACATACTGTTTCAAGACTTTTTCTTTGCATGCGTTGCTCTGTCTCTTGTTCACTATGCCATATTCAGTAGTGACATCACAAGGAATTTCATGCGGCACCAAAATTAGAGCACCCGCGCTCGCGAAAGCTTCAATTCAGTACGACCCCCCGTTGTGATCGTTTCACAGAGTAGCGAGGGTACCTTGGGTCGGGTACGTGACAAGAAGTAGGGAGTGCGGGCAGTGGGATCTGGTGTATATCTCAATCCCAGGCTTATACTTGGTGTTCTTACGCCTGGCTAGCAAATTTGGGGTATTTAGTTAGGGGGCGTGACAACTTTAATATGAGGAAGTTTGCAATGTTGCGATGATGTGGCACGCGCGCCAGTGTTCATGCGAGGAGAGAGAGTTGGCCACGTTGGCGAAAGGGACGGAACGCTCTCTGCGAACGGTGGCTGTGGCGGAGCGAAACTGCTTGCCTGCGGCTAAAAGTAGACAGAATCATATACGCTCCACAAGGAGAGCTGTTCGTCAGTGAAATCGATTCAGTCAAGGTGTTGTCAAGAAGAACTAGGCATCGGTGCTGTGATCCGCGAGGCTGGACGAATCGAAGTAGATCAACCCAAGTGGAATGCATGAAACGTGACAGGCAAGCCGAGGTCGCAAACTTGTCTATTCGCTTTTGAAGCTTGGAGCGCCAATTCAGGAGGGCAGACCAAAGCAAAATTAGGCGTGATGTTACGGTATCGCTTGCGCTGCGCGCTCTATGTAATTACAGACGACTTCTATGTTTAGGCGGGAACCTGCCGTGTTATTCTTTACGGCTGCCAGTTGAACATTCTCAGTCTTTCCCTCTATTCCGGGGTGCGTGTCGGGTTGATTATGTAAAAAGTCGTGATAGTGTCTACCGAGAGAGGGGGCGTACGCTTTTGCATAGTCTGCTGATGCCAGTTTGGCTCAAGGAGTCAGACAAAGTTAGGAACCGCAATCAGCGTTATTCCTACGCGTTTTTCTTCTGTTTTTATGTATTGTTTGTGCTTGTGTTTTATGACATGAAGGGCGCAGTGTGGCTCGGGGGGGGCACCACGCCACATTGCGTACAAAATTAGCAGAAACGCGTCGTTTTCAGGGGGAGCTAAGGCTTTTTAAGAGGGAGAGGAATCCCGGGTGCGAGAGAAACTTTGAGGTATATCGGCCGGAGGTTCGTGCCCTGTCTTTAGGTTGTCTAGGATGCGCTTTTTTCAGAGTACCCCCAATCCTGAGCGCGATATGAAGTTATAGAGAGTCTTCGCGGTTTTTTAGCGCGTTAGGAGAGTCTGATAACAGGTGTTCCCCAGACTTCAGAGAAGTCGTCGTTAGGTTTATCTTCGATTTCGTTTGTAGGATGTTGCACATACTCAGGAGAGTGCAGTGTTCACCATTCATTCGTTCTAGTTTTTTGCTGCCCGGAAATGGATGTTCTATCCCATCGGAACGAGAACGTCAATGCAGGCGATGCCGCCGTCGAATCAAAGAAGCCCAGAATGGATGATCAGGTAGTACACTTGTTTGTTCTAGGTTTATCGTTTGCTTTTTTTTTCACGGTGACTGGGTAGCCCGGGAGACGTGGAAGACCCGTGAAAATTTAAGGCAGGATCGAGGTTCACAGTAGAGGTTAGGGTCCATGGTGAGGGTTAGTTGTGGTTTTTCGGGTTGACGTGAGCAAGATTTCATTGAGAGCTATCAAGTTGGCAATAGTGACCAAAGATTATATCATGTTAGTAAGGGAACCTTACAGCTACTGTTAAAATAATGAGGAGGATTAGGATTAATAATAGTAAGGTTAGGGGTTTGCATTTGAAGTTGGCCAATTCGTACAATGTTGACGTACGCGAATGGAAGTTCACATGTCCGACTGATAAGGGGATCTGTTAAGGATATGACGTTGCGAGCCGGGCGCCCGATCGGGCGGTTGAGTGTTGCGAATGTGTGTTCTTCTTTTCCAGCCAAGTGTTGGAACAACCTACCCAAGCGGCCTCCATGAAATGCGACGACCCTCGCGTCAAATTCTAAGACGTGCCTTTCAAGACGGCTAAATTTAGGCAGTATTTGGTGACTGTTGCGGAAGGGGTGGCGTCGCTAGAACAGTGAACGCGACTTTTGTCGCTTCTCGGACAGCGCGAAACTTTGAATGCATGAACCCGGGTGCACTCATAATCGGAGTAAATCTTGAGAATCTCAGCTTCGCCCGCTAAAAAATAAGGGAAAAAGCGCGTTCCTGCTCCCCGCGAGCCGCGACCATTTGCGGTAGAGGCTGGCAGTGTCTCTCTTTTTGGCGGATTGTGATTATCTCATCGTTTTTTCGGGTGTTTGGACTGAGCTCGGGGAAGGATGAGTTGCACAGATAGGAAATTGACTGGATGCTCGGAGCAGCCTCTCTGAGTTAGTCCTGGTACAGTCGATCATGCGCGGGCACGAGAAGCGTCAGTTGTGGTGCATGTTGACGTTCGCTATCAAGAGGGGTTTGGCAGGTATCGCTGCGCGTGTAGAGTGGGTCGACAGCCGTTGGAAGGTCCCCGGCGGGAGTGGAGGTGGGCTCACCATTTCTTGCACGATGTGGGCGCGGAGGGCCGAGGTGATAGTCTACGAATGGTTGCGGATGAAGGTGTTTTCAACTAGCCCGGCCCGCTGTCGTCGGAGCAGGCTACAACTTGTCGGTCGCGCCCAGAAGTCGTGCGAAGAGAAAGATGAGGGGAGCGCCAGGATGTGTTCAGGCGGAATCGCTTTTATGAATGGAGCGAACTACATCCATTCAAATTTTTGCAGGGGCCAAAGCTTCAGTTTGGGTGAGCAGAGTTCCATGTGCGGAAGGGAATGTGGAGGTTTGAAATCGTGGGTCTTTGGGCTGAGATGCTCCTCCCCCTCTCTCGAATCGAAACGTTCCTCAGGATCGCTTAGTTTCTTCGTATACATGGCAGATTAATACCGGGTAAGTTCAGCTTCATTCGGCAAAGATGTACAATGCACTGAACTGGCTTCATTCGGCTGGGATGTGTAATGCTATTGCTATGGTCACCCTGATTTCCACTATGAAAAAGACGCAAGATAGACTATAATATGCCGCAGACCAGAAATATTGAGCCTAAGAGAGTATATTCATGCGCTACAAGCATATGACGTCTGGGCGAGTAGTTGTGCTTTCCATGACCAAATTTTGATTACCATTCTATTCAAATAAAAGTTCGACTTAATGGAGACTGCTGTGGCAGGTCATAGTGTTTTCCTCTTCTGAGTATGCATTGGAAAAAGAAAGCAAGACCATGAGTAAAGTTCCCCAATGTGTTTCCAGAGAGAATACCTAATGTATGGCCATTAGAAAGGGACAAGGGAGGCAGTTTACAGGACAGCAGGAGTGGGGACAGTTTACACATCTCACCTTTTAATCCACACAGATCATTTTGCTCTGGATTGTGAGGAATCGCTGCCACAGATGACATCAAAAGGATCGCGTTTTGCTGGCGATCCTTTTCGCAGTCATAGTATGTAGCATCATGGAAACGTCAACATTAAACGACATCGATAGGACAGTGTGCCTTGGACTACTACATTGCTGTCGCAAACGCCGAATAACTGCTGCGCGAAACTATCCTGTTAATTTTTCATGTTGTGAATTGAGTTTTTTCCAGCTGCTAACCGTTCGCTTCGTGAAGCTGAATCCGGACGCGCAAGCTCCAGTTTATGGTTCAGCTGCTGCTGCTGGTGCAGATCTTTTCAGTGCTGAAGACTGTGTCGTCCCGGCACATGGTGAGTTTTCGTTCATGTTTAGTATAACTTTTTGAATCTCAGCTTGGTTATTTCCGAAGGGGAAGTTGTTGTGCGAGGAGCCCATAAGTGTACGGGCATTTTGGGAACTAGACACCAATCGGATGATGGGGACACCGAGCACTAATTTGAGACATCGAAAACAAATGATCGCTCGGATCTTAGCGGCTCCCAGCATTGCAAAGGGCAATACCTACTAACCAGGGAACGTCATTAGGTCCACCTGACCGTTTGAATTGAGCATTGAAGGGGGCATTCACAAGCGCGGCTCGAGACAGACATCTTCTATCCCTTTAACGACTCTTTGAGAGGAGTTGTGAGAGGTTTTTCTAGGGTTCTGCATTCCTTTCACTCCTAGATTTGCATTGTTAGCTTCGAAAAGGCAAATGGGGAGGGCCTTGGGCGCGTTGAGTGTTCCGCTGACTTCTTGAGCGCATCCACATAATGGCCCTCTTCGAGCGTTTCAATTTCAACGTCATTAATATTCGAAAAACGGTCAAAATGTTATAACTTTTTCGGCGTGAGTGCATGAGAATCGATTGATTGATTACCTTTATGGTCCTGTTTCTTCTCAATGCTTCAATTTTATTATCGCAAAAGCAGACCATTTAAACGTGAGTCGCATTTTCAGGTAAATACTGTGTATCTACTGGGCTGCAGGTTGAACTTCCGTTCGGATATTACGGACGGGTGGCACCCCGTTCCGGTTTAGCAGCGAAGCATTTTGTCGATGTTGGTGCAGGCGTCGTAGACAGCGACTATCGTGGGGAAGTGAAAGTCTTGCTTTTCAATTTCGGACCGTCTGACTTTGAGGTAATTTCTCACGTCAAGCTTTCTATTTTCCAGTAAACCATTTGAAGTTTTTCATTCAGGTCAAAAAAGGGGATCGAATTGCCCAGTTCATATGCGAACGTATTGCTCATTGCAAATACGAGGAATGTTCATCCTTGACTGGCACCGTTCGAGGTGAAGGTGGATTTGGATCCACTGGAAAGTAATGCTCACTCCATTTGATCGCCTATGATGTCTTCGCACCGGTTTTATTTGTAATCGTTTTTTGTATCGTGTTGATCTCTTCTATGCTATCTCATTGCATGTGTAGGATCTATAAAACTAGAATTCCGCCCATTGGTTACTGAAGTTAAGCAAAATAAGAACTCAAAATCACAATGCAACGTTGCCATCAGTTGGCTCATTTCTAGATATACATCATAAATGTAAATGTCGAGCCGATGCGAATTCATGCCGCAAAAGGTGACTATATTTCTTGGGCGCTAGTTAACTTCGCCTCCTGTTTGACATCGACGTTATGGTGTAGATCTAGAGAAGAGCTGAAAACAGCGGCTTAGGACTGCGTACTGATGCTTTAAGTTCTTCTTTTGCTTCACTCGGGGTAGTTATGTGAGAACATCTAAGTTTTTTTTTTCATTCGTCTAAACCTTCCATTCTATTCACACGTTGTAAAGCTGCAGTGGAAGTAAACGTCGGTCATATGCAATATTTCTGTCTAAGGCTATAACCAATAAAAGGAGGATTCCACGATAAGGAACGAAGGTCGAAGAATGGAGAAACTTACCAACTGGAGAGACAGGCGGACCCCCTAAGGGTGCGGACCAACACGCAATTCGCATCGAAGGATATGCCCTCGGCGATCTAGCATGGCTGGAACTCATCAACTATCTAACCACTCGCGACAGTCAGTCTACAGGGGGAGGGGGGCAAAGTTATGAGAATGGCGTGGGCGAGGCCATATACACTTATCCGGGTCGCTCCATTTCCATCTCCTTTTCTGTGCACTATGTGAAAGGGTACTATGTCTCATTCCGATTGGAACTGGATATCATGCAGTCTCAGAACTAGCTGAAATAACTACACTATCTTACGTCAGTTCTAAAGGCAATTGATTCAGGATTGAATTATGAGGTAATTCCACTCAAATGTGGTAGGTAGTGGACCGCCAGTGCAGAAAAGAGAAAAAGAAATCGTGAAATGCTTAGGAAATACGAGCCATTTCCTCTACGGTGCGGAGAAGTTCAAAAGGCCGGCAGGGAGATGAGAGATAATGTGAGCGCGGAGAGCGCTAGAGAAGTCTAAGTAGAGAGAGCATAGCAGATCAACATTCCGACGCAGTCAAGATATCGAGCGGTGGGCGGAGCGTGTCGCAGCAGGTGGAGCGTGTCAAAGTTCTTAGCGCCTAGCGTCTAAATAACGGTTTTCGAAGTAGGGAAGTGACGCGACCCCTACACTTGCGTACCTAGCGCTTCTAGCCACCGTAAAGGCTCATTAAGTGGTCTGAGCCCGAACTTTGCCTTTAATAACTAAGTCATCGCACGTTACATCTAGCGGAAGTCTGACGCATCAGGGAAGCTCATGTGGGCAACAGTTCAACTCTTCAATAAGTTTGGAAACCACCATAGATGGAAAATTCGGAGACTCGAAAGTTACAGTTACCACCAGGACAATTATCAGATGCAGGAACAGCTCTCCCCTTGTCGACTTTCGTACTCCCAAAATGAAAAAAAAATCGATGTGAAAACCCAGCCAGACACTCTAAAGACTCCACATCTGTAGTGGGATAGGAAGCCACTCGAGTACTCTACTTGGGACTTTTGACAGGACCGAGCACCCAAGAATAAAGCAAAAATCTCTAAAAGCGCAATTTTTCGAGTTCGTTGTTTCGAAGATTTGTTACATTGGAACACTCCACCTAATATCTCTAGGATTTCTGTATTTTACAC